GAAAAAAGATCAGTTGGAGAACTCCAAAGGAAACGATTCTAGTAATCACCGTCAGGAAGGAGGGTTGCCGACGAATGATACATCCTAGGAACGGTACTGGGAGAAAACCCATCGCTCGACCATTGTTTTCCTGCTGCTGCCTTGGGATCGTAGATGAGTGGAGTGAGAACGGGATCGTCGGCATACGACTGGCCGACGGCCCAAGTATCGTTTCCGTAGCCAGCAGTACCTATGTATAAAAAATCAGCGTTGTCGATGAGGGCCCTGAACGCGTACACGTACCCTTTCGCGCACCATTGAGCGCCAAGACTGTTTGATCAGGGAGGAGGATCAAGCTTGTGAGCACACGCGGCTCCGGGAAGGGTTCTACATCTCGGTATTTGCCTGAAACGTCGGGGGTGATCTGGACGCACGAGGCGGAAGTCGGGGTCTCCATCGCGTTGAAGCCAGGGGCGCGCCATCTGAATCGTTCACGTTAGGGACGCCCAATGCCGTGGACGCGGAAAGGAGCTTACTGGTCAGTTGGAACGTTGGAACCGCCACAAAACATGATAGTCGCCGTGTAATTGTTGCTCGGAGTAAGAGGCATCATGGTGGTGCCAGCGCTAGCAGGATAGGTCCTTACCGCTGCCGGCATATCGTCGAGGGGCTGTTCATTTTGGGTCTTGTAATCCATTAGGATGGTTTGCCAGTTAGATTGTATCAGGAGCTTTCCGGAGGGAAGGAGCCAGGTGAGCGGGAAGAGGTTGGTAGGGAGTGTGTTTTCAAGGACAGGAGAGTGGACGGGCTGGCCTCTGGACGGGTAGAACTCGTAAGTGGGGTTGTTCTGTCCTGGGTCGTTGACGAATCCTCCGGTCCTGCAACCACCAATCTAGATGGAGACATCAGCTGGAATAATTTACGGATAACGGGGCGACGTACGATAATGAAGCTTCCATCCTCAAGAGTCTCCCTACAAGGCAGGTTAGTCATTGTTTCGGAGTTTCTGACGAGTACTCACACCGTGGGGTACCATCTTTGATCAATCGCAGTAGGCGAGATGGACCACTGCA